TATTTTAAAATAAATAAAAAGCCACCCCTAGTCTGTTGCTTCTATTATTAGGCAGTATCAATAAAACACCAGTGATTTGTCCTATGTCAGAAATGAGCACAAACACTGCCTTATTTTATCTCCGTCATGTGCCGGCATGTGCAGTCTTGCCATTTTTTCAGATGACTTGCCCAGGGCCCCAGAGCCAGCAGAGGGGGGGCTGGGATTTACACTTGCACAACCTGCTGTAGAATCATGTGCTCTTTTCTCCCCAAAGGGAGTCACTTACGCTGAGTCCCACACCAGCAAACCCAGACTTTAATAATTTAGTTACAGTTTTGGCCTCTCCCAGGAATGAAATCTTAAACCCGTCAATCTGGAATTACCCGGTCAGTGAGGTAACCTGCCTCAGACCCTGCTGCCCCCGAAGGGAGGTGACCTGGCAAGGCCACTCTGGCTTTTACAGGGAAACTTCCTGTCCGCTCCCTCTGCCTGTCTCCCACTGTGCTCAGCTCCGTGGGGCTCCTTCTGTCTGGTAGATGGGGTGCTGCCCAATGCACCAGTCACTGACTAACAGCCAATCAGAGCTTTACATTTTACTCAGTTGAATTTTGTTTTTCCACACACTATGAGGTCATTCTTTGCATAAAATTAGAGCCACAGGGGTCATCCTAAAGGTGATCTAGTTCAAGCCATCCATTTTTTTTTTTTAATTAAAAAATGAGTCCTGAGGCAGGAGTAGTAAGCTGGTCACAGGTAAGGGCAGGTAAGAGCAGAGTTTGAACTGGAGGTTGGCTCCTGACACACCCAATACATACTTTCTCTCAAAACCAGAGCATAAGTTCCCCTTTCCCATAATGCACTGCCAAATCTTCTCTTGACAGAGTATTCTGACTCAACCCAAAATTATATCTTAATAATGACCCACCTACTAATTGGTGTGAATTAGCCAAATTCACAAAATATCTTATACAGAGCGGCACAGGTAGGTATATGCTTCAAATAAAACAATCCTTCTTTTAAAAAGTAAAAAACCTTTATGGGACAAATTCTACATCTTTTGTAAATTTTAAAAAATCCTATATGTTAAAGATAGTAATCACCTTCTAGCATGATTTTCCAGATACATAAAAAAAAAGTCTCTAGCCTCACACTGGTGTCAGAGGACAGGCCATCTGAATGCCAAAGCTGTCAAAATGAATCAACAGAAGCATTCTCCTGACTGGACAGCAGAGGGCGACAGAGGAAGGACAGGCCCAGAAGGAAGATGCTGGCCCTTACTAGGGGAACGTGCCCAGTGCCCAGCAGGCAGGGCTGGGTTTACAGAGAAGAGACTTATAAACAAATCCCTGATGGTCCCAGGCACCAGGCCACATGGATGGGCACTCCCAGCATCTCCAGGCCTGACCCAGGAAACGGCCCGACCCCAGGAATTAACAAACGGCATTTCAACCTCCGCATGGTTTCCAGGTGGGAGGGGCAGAGACGAAAAATACTAAAACCGAAAATGTACCCGATCTTGAAAAGCACAAAAAAAAAACAACAAAAATGGGCCTGTGAGAGTAAAGATTAAAATAAAATACAAACTTAACCAGTTGTGCCCGAAGTAGAAAAAGATCTTTAAGGCACAGAAAGCCTCACCCTCGAGATCCGAATTCCTGAGAACCTGTCAGTGCGGATCTCGCGGGTTATCAGTCCGTGTACTTGGAGCTGTGGCAGAAATGAGCTTCATTAGAGAGAATCACCTGATATCTAGGAATCTCCTCCACCGGCTGACCTATCCTCCAGACAGACTGGTTTCTAAACCTGGTATGTAATAACAATGTCTCAATGGACACAAATATTGAGCTGACTATAATTTCACATATAACAAGCATGTTGCTAGTCCATATACCCCCTCCCAGGGACACAGGAACCCAATGAAGGCGTTGCCACCTTGGCATCAAGTGGCTTCAGCATATTTTATTTGATCTCTGATGTTTTCAGAGAGAGAAAAAAAATCCTGTTCTAAAGGGAGGCAATGAGGAATAGAGTGAAGACATAAAAGGGAGCACTACAGTCAAACTCTAAATCACTAAGTCCAGTAGGACGAGGCATGAGGCGACTATTCTATCCTTGTTCCAAGTAGCCTGGACTTCAACGTTTCTGAGCTGTCCAGCCCTGCGCCAATGCCGATACATAACCTCCACATAGCCCTCTGCTTAGCCCAAAGGACTCAGGAAAGAACGTTCCTGCATCCAGACCACAGGCCACCGAGAGCAGCGGTCGCCAACCTCTCGGACCTCACGGACCACCAGTGGTCCACAGAACACCAGTTGGCGACTGCTGACCTTGATGAATGCCATTTCACACCAATACAGAAGCGGTTATTGCAGGACCGGCTGTTCTCAAGGCGCACTTTTCCCTCTGAGAACCCTCAGCTTGTATTTCTTCTTTGGAGCACTCTGGCTATTGCTAAGTTGTGTTTCCAGTCTCAAACACTAGGACCTTTGAATAAATCTTTTTATCATTTATTTCTTAAAAAAGAATCAGTGAAGTGGCCATATTATGTTCTCATTTAACTGAGCTTTTGTCTTTGTTGCCTCATCAAACCTACTCACAGTTCCACTCCACCATGCAGGACAGATGATCGAAATGCCAGTGCCGATTCAAATAACTAACGTGTGGCAGAAACACATATTTATATGCCTTCTGTACAGATTAATAGTAGCCGCTGCTAGCCTGCCAACTGCACGTGCACACACTTCCGGTCCCACATGTAAATCAAACATGAGGCATAAGGCGGATTGTAAAGAAGTGCTGATGTTACAGCGATCTTATGTTACTCAGGTTCCGGATTAAACTATGGCGATGTTGACTACTGTGGCAATATACTCTGGATCTCTCCACATTAATTTCATGTTATAAAAGGTAACGGCATTCACAAAAAAGGTCTCAGAAATTAAGAACAGGGAATGCAAACGCATTTGAAATCCAGAGGTATATTTCTATAATCAATGATTTGCTAGGGTAGGCACATTCATTATAATACGATTCCAGTAACCATTGTCAGTTGGTAGATTATAATGAGACTCACTGTTTTGGTCCTCTTAAAAGTGACTCAAATAACAAAGGAAAACTAAACACACTGACAAAAGGAATGAAGGAGCAAATGATGAAGGGGTGATTAATTCGGTAGGAGAGCAGAGTGGTTTGTGACTGTTGAAGGAGCAGTGGCTGAATCAGAGATGCTGCTGACAAACTGAAAACTACTGAAAAGTTTCCAGCTGCTTGCTGACTGCCAAACCAGCGGCTCTGCAGAAACCAGCGTCCCTCAGAAGGAAGGCAGAGGACTAGACCGCAAACTCCTGGGCGAACTTCTCCGTCACCTCGTGGGCTGGCACCGCCCACCTGTCAGGGACATGGTGAAAGTGAGATGAGAGGCATGTGCCGCAGGCAAGCGCTTTGTAAACTGCCAGCTTATGTCTAAGTGCCAGGTATTATCATCACCCTCACACGCAAGTCACTTCCTACTACGTCTTAGTCACTGTTTAAACAACAATTATCTATCCTGTCAAGTGATCTAGGTACAAGAGACATGAAAGCTGCATCCGAGAAACACCGTTTTTAAGAATAAAATCTGCACAGTGGCTTTTGAAACTGTTCAAGAAAGATCGAGCATTTCTATTCACACAGACGGCTGCTCTGAATTTTGGGTCTCCTTCCGACAACACCAACTGTTTGGATCACAGAACGCACAGCGCCACAAGAGCGTGAGAACAGGCGGCTGCGACATACATGCGCGCCACTGTCGCAAAGGAACCCAGAGATAATGAAAAGCCTGGCTCCTCATCTCGGCTCAGAGGGTCAGAATATGCCGTGCACGGAACAAATCACGTTGGCAAGGGCCAGGGGAACAACCAGCATCAGGCACATTGGGTGAGGTGATCCACCACTAGTCACACACACAGATTCAGAAACGACATTCCAACACGTGGAAAATATTTCTCAGGGTGAGGTCCTGGGAGTTCCGGTGAGGCACGCAGGCAGGGGAAAGCAGGAAGTCTAACTCCTCAAGACTTAGAATACCCCACTTCCCTGGGGGTCTTTAATCACGTCATTAAATTGTGGGTACGCTGAGATATGTTTTTAATACAATTGGTGGAGCTCTTGTTCCTGACAAGTATAAATGATCGCATGCTCATCCATCCATCCATTCATTTATTCGATACCGATTTACTCATGGATACCTAGCAGGAGTCAGGAACAGTGTTAAATGCTGGGAATACGGATGTCACTATGTAGACACGGGCCCTGGCTTTATGGCTCTTACATTCTAGTAAAAAAGAGAGAACAGCAAAAAATATATATACAAATGAGTGACTTGTGATAATCATGATACCGGTAAAGGCCATGAAGAAATGGGGTAAAGCAGTGGAGATTACACGGAAGTGTTGGAGGCTACTTTAGATTAGTGACCAGGGAAGCTTTCTCTCAGGAGGAAACCAATGAGACTGAGCTGGCCAAGGGAAGAGATGGAAATGAGGCATTCCCAGCAGAGGGAACAGGACGTGCGAAGGCCCTGAGGCAGGAAGGGCTTGGAGCGCTACAGGCAGTTGAGAAAAGAAGCCAGGCGGCTGAAGGACAGTGAGTAGGGGAGAAGAGTGTGAGCTGAGGTCAGAAGAGAGGCCAGGAGCCCCATTTTGCATGCACGCATATAGCTCCAAATTCAGTTCAGGAGATTTAAAGGAGAAAGGTTTTAAAATCTTAATTGTCATTTAAAGGCACAATCTGACTTACATTTACGGCTATCGCTCTAGCTGCATATGTGTAACATATGCATAAACACAACCTTCATTCTAAAGATGCTAGCATTTGAAGAAGTCAGAAAACATTTTGAATGCATTTCTAAACATTTAAATAAAAGTAGTCTTAGAAAAGCAGACATTGAAAAAGCCCCAAAGAGCCACCTAGAGACCAGTAAGTTAAACAACAGATTATGGGTTAAAAAAAAAATCAAAGAACAAAATAAACCTACATACCTCCTCGTTGCACCAACAAGGTGACCTCACTGCCCTTTGGACATTCGATCAGCATGTCCACGACCTGGTTGTGCGTGAGAGCCTGCACGCTCTTCTTGTTCACTTCCACGATGAGGTCGCCCTCCTTCAGGCCGCGGCACCGGGGGCTGTCCACGATCTGTTTCACTCTTTGGCCGCCCCCTCCAGGACTGTCTGCGATAGTGAAGCCAAAGCCCATTGGCCCTTTGACTATATGGACAGTTATGAGTTCTGGCTGAGTGGCTATGGAGGAAGCCAACGAGACAGTGTCATTGGGGTAACCATGGGAACCGTTGGAAGCCACGTCGGCTGGACTGCTCGGCCTGGCGTCCTTCATGCCGTTGACTTTGCCCGTTTTACTGCTGTGACTAGCTGGTGAATCGTAGGTCTCTTGCCCATTCACGATAATTGGTTCTTTATCCAAAATGGCCACTGAGGTCACTAAACTCGTATTGGGGTCATCTGGGTCAAAAGGCAACGGATAACCTCGGCAGAGTTCAAGGTCCACACTGGCACCGATGGGAATGGACTGGAAGATTTTCACAACTTGCGCATGTGTGTGTCCCAAAACGCAGGTGTCGTTCACGCTGACAATTACATCTCCTGCAAAAGGTAAGAGTTTGGGGATTAAAATAAACAGTATGCAGAAAATCTACCTCGATATCTATAATAAACAAAGGGTTATAGACTAATTAGACCGAACATCCTTCCGGGCATCATTCTGATGTCACCAGACGAAGCTGGGGCCGTAGTGAAGCCCGGGCCCCAGGCAGGCCCGGGCACCTGCCGGCGGTGGCGGGAGCAAAGCAGCCCGGGTCCCAGGTGCCAGAGGGAAGCCGGTGCTGGCAGGTGGGGGAAGGAAGGCCTACTCTTGCACGAATTCGTGCATCGGGACTCTAGTTATGATATAAACGCCTACCAACAGGAAGCTGATCTGAAACTGGATTTGGGGGTGGCATCGTAGGACACAAAGGGACTACTCCTATCACTGATTTTAATGGCTGACAAGGCCTTTGTTCAGCACCCAGTGTGGTCCCTGCCTGTGAGAAGATATGGTCACTGAAAGAACACTGGAGCTTTCTTCTAACACAGATCCCCACTGCAGAAATCCAAGCTCTGAACCCATCTATTCAAACAGATCTATACTCTGACAAATCACGGCTCTACTCCACTCAGTGGCACCCTAAGAGTTTCCCGAAGGTGACATGGCCTCACAGGTTTCCATCTCCACTGGGAATGCATGTACGGAGTGGAGGAGCCGACACAGAGGCGGTGATTAAGCCCAGAAACCCGCTGCTGTTTGGTCTCAGGTGGTGCCAGCAGCACCGGCCACCTGCTGCCCCACCTGTTTCCATCTTGCCGTCCAGCGCAGCGGGGCCATCCAGGACGAGGCTCTTGATCTGCAGAAACTCGTCAGGTTCGTCCCCTCCGACGACCGTGAAGCCAAAGCCACGGCTGCTTTTCCGCAGCTTCGTGTGAATGAACTTGCCTTTCAGCTCAGAAGGGTTTCGTGTAAAAAAGGGTTTGCCTGGATTAAAAGAAGAAAAAGTAAAGGAATGTCAGGATGAGTAAAAAAGGTGAATAAAGGAGGAAATGCTACAACTTCTAGGTCATCTCCACGCTCCTGTGCCGGGGCACTGGGCACACAGGTGCCATAAGAGTCTCTCCCAGTTTGAGGAGGGGCGCGCAGTACATGCACACGTCAGCATGAAGCTCTGAAGGGAAACGCAAGAGCAGGAGAGAGGGGTCCGTCACCCGACCCAGGGGCACGATTTTGGCTCATGTGGTGTGACAGCGGTCGCGCTGCCACGCGGCCCTTCACAGAAGGCAGAGTGGACTTTGCTTTCTGTCTTGTGTTTTGTTATAGTTTATATTCTGCAATACAGCTTGTTTTGTTATAGTTTATATTCTGCAATACAGCTTGTTTTGTTATAGTTTATATTTTGCAATACAGCTTCCCATGTGTTGCCTCAAGCTTGTTTTCCACTTGTAAAACCAATTCATCAAAACTTTTAGCTTTTAATCAAACAGAAATCTCATTCTGAAAATACATAGATAATACTAAGAAACATACTATGGTCACGAATAATTTTATAAAATAGTACCATCACTGTTTTCAAAATAAAGAGTTATAATTTTACTTTGATTTGAATTCTAAATTAAACAAATTTTTCCTATTAATTTGCATCTTTTAACATTTTGTTACGTAGTCTGGACATGCCCACTGCTAAAATATAGTTTGGAATAAAAGTTTAGGGGTGGGAAGTGAGCTCAGTGGCAGAGCACATGGTTTGCATGTATGAGGCCCCAGGCTTGATCCCTGGCATAAGTAAATAAATAGAGTTTAGAAGTGGCTTGGAATATTTTAAAAAATAAAACAAAATTTAAAAATCTAAACTAAGCGAAATAGTTACCACAAGAGCCATATAGCTCCAAATTCAGTTGTTTTATTATTTTTTAAAAGTATACTTTATTGATTTTTTTTTAAAGAGAGGAAGGGAGGAGGATAGAAAGTTACAAACATTGATGAGAAACATTGATCAGCTGCCTCCTGCACACCATTTTACTGGGGATGTGCCCACAACCAAGGTACATGCCCTTGACGGGAATCGAACCTGGGACCCTTCAAGCCACAGGCCGATGCTCTATCCACTGAACCAAACTGGTTAGGGTCAGCTGTCTTACTTAAAATAAAAAGGTATGTAGCTAAATAACTTCCAGATATGCTACCTAAGGTTCTATTGAATTTTCTTGATAGCATTCATAAATAACATCTTGTAGAGTAACCAAAATTTCTGTGTTTCATTAGTTGGGCATTTCACTATAATTTAAAGATTTACTGGAATTTCTCTGGTTATCCCAAATAGTGGATATAATTCAAGGCCCAGATTCTTCAACTCTCCTAATTATAATTCCAATCTCCAGTCCTTGCTATAGCTGCCCCATGTGCCCTATTTCTCTTTTATCAAAAATGTTATTTTAAAAAACCAAAACCACAACAGGCGGATATGTCTCCCTAGACCGGCACGAGAGAGCCTGGCACCCAGAAAGAACGCTAGCTTTGGTTAGCTGTCTCGAAAAGGCCTTTCTCAAAAGGTCTCTGTACATACATACAATTTATAACGGCATATTTCAAAAGTGTCTGGCTCTTAAAAAGCTCTTTCAAACTGCCTAGAGCAGTGGTTCTCAACCTTCCTAATGTCGTGACCCTTTAATACAGTTCCTCATGTTGTGGTGACCCCCAACCATAACATCATTTTCGTTGCTACTTCATAACTATAATTTTGCTACTGCTATGAATAGTAATGTAAGTATCTGATATGCTATATGTGTTTTCCGATGGTCTTAGGTGACCCCTGTGAAAGGGTTGTTCGACCCCCAAAGGGGTCACGACCCACAGGTTGAGAATTGCTGGCCTAGAGTCATAGGAGTGCTCCTCGACCTCCTCCCTGGAGCCGGCCCTGGCTGGCTGGGAGCGGACAGGTGGGCTCTGTCTCAGGGCTACAGGAAGTGCGGGTACAGTAGGACTCCCTGTGGCAGGTCTCCCCATGTAAGATCGTCTGCCAGGCCCCAGGAGGCAGGTGTCCAGCAGTCAGGGCTGTGGGGAGACAGGTGCATGGCAATCATCAGCTGGGAGCTGAGGACAAGGGAGACACCTGCTTGTGAACAGCCGGCACCCCTGAGGCAGAGGCAGAGGCTGCTAGGGAGCTCAGAGCCCTCAAAGCTTAAAGCAGAGGTTCTCAATCTGTGGGTCGCGACCCCTTTGACGGTCGAACGACCTTTCACTGGGGTCGCCTAAGACCATCCTGCATATTAGATATTTACATTATGATTCATAACAGTAGCAACATTACAGTGATGAAGTAGCAACAAAAATAATTTTATGGTTGGGTCACAACATGAGGAACTGTATTTAAAGGGCCAGAAGGTTGAGAACCACTAGCTTAAAGGGAACGCCCTACAGGGACCCCAGGAGCCGCACCCCCTCAGTGAGGCTTCCTGGCCGCCTTAGGAAAAACTGCAGGACCTCCCAACATTCCAAGCCCCCTTGCCAGCTTCATTTTGTTGTTGTTAATCCTCACCCGAGGATATATTTTTCCATTGATTTTCAGAGAGAGTGGAAGGGAGGGGAGAGAAAGAGAGAAACAACAATGTGAGAGACACATTGACTGGTTGCCTCCTGCACATGCCTGACCAGGGCTGAGGATTGAGCTGCAACGGAGGTATGTGCCCTTGACCAGAATCAAACCCAACACCCTTCAGTCTGCAGACCAATGCTCTAACCTCTGAGCAAAACGGGCCAGCACTGCCCAATACAGTCTCCCTCCCACTACTGACCTGGTGCTTTGGCTCACTGTCCCCAACCCACACATGAGGGGCAGCGCACATGCACATACAGCCACCAGGTAGCTGTGAGCTTGGTGTAGCCTCTGCTTGATACCCAGTGTGTAGAACACTGCCCTTCTCATTTTACCTGCTCCAAAAACTCCTGCTCAGAGAGTGAGTGATTGAGTGAATGAGTGAAGAACAGCTCAAAGAAATGAGATTTAACTGTCTTTCAGAAGGCTGAAGGTCTCGGCGGGTGTTTAAGCTTTTTACCCTTATTTATAGGTACAGTTACAAATGTGAACATGTGTCAATTTTTCTGAATGAATTTTTTAAGCTATCAGCATATCCTGAGCTTAAAATGTTTTCAACGTAACGCAGCAGGAGCAGAGCACTGCTGTCCTTTCCCAAGGGTTACCTAGGAAGGCAGGCCAGAGGGCTCCACATTCACCCCCTTTTATTGTGTTTATGGGATGGTCATCAGTCAGTAGGGCTTTGGGGAGAAATGCCTGTCTACCCACAGCTGTGGGTCTGGGGCTCTGCTCAGCCCCATGCACTCGTCACTCTCTACCCACAGCTGTGGGTCTGGAGCTCTGCTCAGCCCGTGCACTCGCCACTCTCTACCCACAGCTGTGGGTCTGGAGCTCTGCTCAGCCCGTGCATGTGCCACTTTCTCAGAGAGCCTCGTCTCCCGACTGGTGCCAGTGGTGCTGTCCGTGGTGGAGGGCACCACCTGGGGAGCTTTGGGAAGCGACTAAGTTGAGGGCCTGCCCTAGACTCACTGAACCTGGACCTTCCGGGTCTTGGCCCCACATCTGCTTCTAACAACCCTGAGGTGCTTGCTTCCTTGTCAGGTCAGTACTGCTCCGGGCACCCTTGGTAAAGGCATAGGCCACTGCTGAACGCACACCTTCTGCGATGAGGGTGTAACTGGAGGCGGGCTCAGCATGGAGGCGAGAAGCAGAAGGGGGCAGGAATCATGAGGTCCCCGGGGAGAGTGCAGTGAGCTCTCCCAACCGAAACCAATGTGGGAGAAAAGACAAGGAAAAGAGGCCTAGAAACGAGAAGGAAGCTCCGAGCACAGATCAGTACCTCTGGACCCGCACCGCAGCCGGGGCACTAAGGTTTGGCACCAGCACCTGACCCTTTAAAGCAGTGGTCACCAACCGGTGGTCCGCAGGCCACTGGGGGTCTGTGAGGTCCGAAAGGTTGGCGACCGCTGCTTTAAAGTGTTGATTGACTTAATCTCTAAGACAATTCTTTAAGGAAGCTGTGCTGCTTATTGTGCATGCATATGTGCATGCATGTATGTATGTTTACACATATGTATATTCTTTTACCCCACAATACATTTTAGCAGATGCCAGATACCCAAGGAATGTGCCTGGCTTGGAGGGCCCTACAGCGAGAAAGCAGCCCCCTGCCTCTGCGATTTATAGTCTAAAGAGGAAACAACTGTTAAGTAACTGAACACACCGAAACACTAATTATAACTGTTAGGTTCTAAAAATGAGAAGAATAAGATGGAAAGAGGGACTGTAAGAGGGGAATCTAGCCATAACCTGAGATGAGTAGAAGCTAACAAAGCAAACACTGGCAGGAAAAGACCGCTGCAGAGGGAACAGCATATGCACAGGCTGTGACATGGTCCCAGATTCGCTGGTTTAAGAACAGAAAAGAGGTTCAAGATACGTAAAAGTTAGTGTAGCTGACTCTCATTTTTAGAACCTAACATTTTTAGAACCAGGAGAGGAGAAATATGACAACATGAGGCTGCTGAAGGAGTATTATATTTAAAAAATATGAAGGAGGCACAATCGTGTTGATATTAATTAATGCTATTATCTACTTGCTATCTTCATTAAAGCCATATCATCCTAAAAAGCTCATCCAAGGCAGCAGAAATTATTTTACATAAATTGGTGTTAATACCAATCTCATGACAATATCAGCTAGAAGGGAAATTTCTTTCTTATGGAAATTATAATGGAGGAATCAAAATTATAGAAAATAATTATTCTACCTATCTACTTACTTCTTTTTTAAAATAGAGAGAACAAATTTTATAGTCTTTTTAGCAGTTCTGAACCACAAATGTTCCTCAACTCTACTGAATATGATGCTCGCCTTATTTAAAAAAAAAACACACTAAACAAACAAATCCAAAAACCTTTTTTATCATTGAAGAGCTATGAGGCCTGAAGTAGCAAGATTCTGGAGCTTTCAATTTTCAAAAGTGAACCTCTCCAGGGGGCTTAAACTTTCTGTGAATGCAAACCAATGAGACCCAACAAAATGTTGTAAAATGTGGATAAATGCCAAAACCGAAGCCAGAATAAGAGACGAGAATTTAAAACAACATGTCCAACCATTTTATAGTTGCAGAAAAATTTTAGTTAAAACCAAATATGGCTGACTAGGATCTTGAAATATCTAATGCTGAGTTTTCAAGTTATTTTACACAATTGCTAAACATCTGTGGTCTCCAAATCCCAGTGGTTCGCGACCCTGGGACGGTTTTGCCCTCCTCCCCCCGCCCCGGCGGGGACACCTTTGGTTGCCACAAAGGGAGGCTGCTATGGCATCTAGTGGGTGAGGTCAGGGAAGCTGCCCACACCCTACAAGGCACAGCGTGGCCCACAGCCCAGAGGGATCTGTGCTGAGGCCGAGGAAACCTGGTTTAATCCTTGATGATAGGAGTGGTCACTTTCGGAACATCACAAAGAGCTGGAGGAATTCACACAACAATGTTTTTAATATTTTTGACACTTCTGATCACTGATGCATTTAGAATTTTAATCATCATGGTTTTTACTATCAAAGGAATGAGTTGGGAGTTGCAAAATTCCACTTCTTAAAGTACCTTTTAAAATACCAGGTTTTTGAGCTAAAACAATGGTGCAGTTATATAAAGCCTTACCCTGAAGGGGAGGGTCCCTGGCCGGCTCTGGGTTGCTTGGGGGGTGGCTGGGAATAGCAGGAGGCACGAGCGATGACCGGTCTTCTGTCCATTCTGCAAGAAAGAGAATCAAGAGCTCACTTAGGATTCACCTTCTTAATATAAAGTTGCCCAAACCAATAAAACCAGGGGCCAAGACTTAAAAAAAAAGGCATTTGATCCCACTCTCTATTAATAATACCAAGATACCTCTCTCTGTCTCTCTTTCCTAAGACCTTTGGGGATAGAAATATTGTGGTATGACCAATAAATCCCCAGTTCTCTCTGGCTGGAGAGTACAAAGTGAGACCAAGCAAAACACATCAGGAAAGACACAAAACAAAGTGAACTCAGTCCAATGTGACAGAGACATGGGCGGGCTGCTCAGCCAGCTTGTCTCAGGGAGGGAAGGCGTTTCAGCAGTTGGCTGAGGGGGCTATCTCCTGTCATCTCTGAACACGAAATACTCCTGGGTCCTAACTATAGTCCTATCGCCCCTGGAGGCCCAGGAATAACTCAGGGAGTGACCCTTGACATTCCCCTAGAGTCCTTCCAGCTTGGCTCTCTTACTTAAGTGCACACTCCCATTCCCCTAGCTCCACCAACACTACCAAGCTTCTCCCCTCAGGGGAAATGTTAAAAACAGTTATTTTTAAATAGAAAAGAAATTAAGGTAGAAAGGAGAACTTTTCAGTAGGTGATCTCTCTCTCTCTTTCTCTCTCTCTCTCTCTCTCATACAGTCTATGGAAGTGGTTAGCAAATTATGGCCAAAAAGCCAAATTGGGCCCAGTGCCTGTTATTATACAACTTGTGAGTCAAAAATGGCTTTTACACATTTAAATGGTTGAAACAAACTCCTTTAATAAATGCCAGGAGTTGGGCCCTGTTTTTGTTTATATTTTATGGAGAAGAAGATTTCATGACATGAAGATTACCTGATGTTTAAATTTCAGCCCACCTGTAATGCTGCGTGGGAACAGGCACACCCACTGTTCACACATGTTGATAGCTGTTTCACACAGCTCCAGACAGTGTGTGTGGTTGTAGTAGAGTGCATGAACCACCAAGCCCACAAAATTTACCATATGCCCATTTTTAGAACAAGTTTGCCAGTTTCCACTCTATGATCTATATTTACTACATACAGTGTTATAGTAAGAGAAGTGTTATATTTGACATTCATATATTTGATATTCACATGTTACACTGAGGGTGCATTAAAGTCTATTATTTTAAGAGTGTAATGAAAAACTGGGAAAAGCCTAAGCATCTACTAATAAGCAGGTGACTAAATGAAGCGGATACATTTATAAAATGGAATATAAAAATTAATGGGTTAGGAGTGAGCAGGGGAGAATTTAATGCTCCACACTGCTGAATTGTTCATATTTTTCCAAAGAGCATGAATTGACTTGTAATTTTAAAAAGCTCTCAAGCCCTAGCTAACTTGGCTCAGCGGATAGAGCATCAACCTGTGGACTGAAGGGTCCTGGGTTCGATTCCGGTCAAGGGCATGTACCTTGGTTGTGGGCACATCCCCAGTAGGGGGTGTGCAGGAGACAGCTGATCGATGTTTCTCTCTCATCTGGCTGTTATGTTTCTTTTCCCTCTGCCTTCCTCTCTGAAATCAATAAAAATATATTTAATAAATAAATAAATAAATAAACAAATAAACAAATAGCTCTCAAATCCTCAGCTCCAGGCTCAGGACAGCTCCTTTCTAAATTAAGTGCAATCGGTGCCTCGGAATTGGGCCCTCCTCCTGGTTCCAGGGCAGGGAACTCTGGCAACTCGGTATTGCTCCCAGGACATCAAGTCCTCGGGCGCAGGGCTGGGTCACCAGGCCAGTCCTGACCACACGGGGGTGTCGGCACCCAGGCTCCGCCCTGCACTCCTGGACCACACACAGAGAAAGCCAACCTTCGGACGGAGGCTGCGGCTGCGGCGGCGGCTGCTCCAGCTGCTTCTTCCGTTTGGCTTCTAGAACTGGGTTCTCGTACTGTGTCTTCCTGTTGATGTGGCTGGCGCGGAAGCAGAGAGCACCCGGTTAGGAAACGTCTCATCCCACAAGCAAATGCCAGTCGGGCCAAGTCCCGGGATTAGAACCGAGCAGACAGGTG